ATGCATTAAAAGTACCTCCCACTCCACTATCGTTAGGATATGTTTCTGAAACTCCACAACTTTGGCAATGGGATCTTTCAGTGGAGGAATTCACAGCCCAATTCGATCACATACAACTAAAGTGTGAACTAATAGAGTCAGAAGAGCATCCAGTAGCCAGATATCTTGGAGGACCGAGCCTGTCATTAGCACTGTAGCGCAACTGCAACCTTACTGGATATTGGGAGATGTCCTGACATTAGTCGTGAAAGTGGAAAGACAACATAAGCAGAGCAAACAACAATCATCCTTCAGGCAACAATCTTCAAGCAGGCAATCACCTACAATTACAAACACCAACAAGGGTACCCCGGGAGACAAAGGCAAACCAGGACAAGGGAACGAACATTTCGGATCAAAGTAGGAAGAAACAGGAGAAGGCTAGCTCCTCTAACACGGTACTTGCCAAGAAGTGTTATTGATTTCACGGCTACAGTCACATAACATCTAGTTGTCCCAAGAGCACGGTAGTCACACTCACAAATCAAGGCGCCATCGAAGAGATTAGCGATGAAGGAGAGGCGCTCGTGATTCGACGGATCCTGCAGATTGAAGACACTAGGCATCCATAGTGGCTTCGCCACAATACATTCTACACTTGTTGCACAGTGAACGAAAAAGTATGCAGTCTAATCATCGACAACAGAAGCAGCAAGAATGTGGCATCAGCACGAAAGGTACAGAAATTGAGACTTGCAACTCAAATGTATTCCCAGCTATATTCACTGATGTAGTTGAAGAAGGAAAATTAAATCAGCAACAACTGAAGATGCTTGGTAGAGTTTTCAATCGGAGGCCAACTACAGGACCAGGTGTGGTGTGACGTGCTTCTCATGGATGTCTGGCACCTTCTATTGGGATGACAATGGCAGTTTGATTGGAGGACCCAGCACGACGGATATAAAAACATGTATTCTTTCGCCAAGGACTGGAAGCACATCACCCTACTTCCTTCGACGGAGCCCGAGGTCACGGAATCACTTATTAGCAGAACAACGTCAGTGGAACCAGATTTAGTGGTGACACAGAATAAGTGAACCGAGATACCGGCTCCTAACAGGAGAAAAATACGACAGAGAAGATTTCAAGGCCTCACAGTCGACACCGTATCACCAACTCCACCATCGGACAAGAAGATTTAGGCCAACCTCACGGCACATTAGACTGAAGCGCATGTGAATTGCTTTGCAAAAACTCAGCAGTATGTGCGCGGCACACAATCCCAAAGATGAGATTGAGATTGATGTTTGCTCGTGAGTGGGAGAAGACATTCAGCTACCTCGGGAGACGGTGCAATCACTGGTGACTGACGACGAAATGGAAGCTTCGACTTATGAAGTGGAAGGTCCCTCAACACCGCGAGATTGACCCAGGGCGCTAATAGCGCCCCTGTAGCAGAGCGAACATGCTAAGCAGAAACCCCGCGTTGCGGGAAGTGAAGGTGGGAGGCGGATCGCGAACTCTCGCGATCCAGAGAAGTAGGGCGCTTTGATCCCAAGGGGCCAGAACCCCCTCAATGCTTCGCAAGAGCAATAGCTAGGCGGGATTGCGAACTCTCGCAATCCAGGGAGACACTTTGCGATTATGCCACACCTGTCTTCTTCTGGGAAGCATTTTTCTGGATTCTTCTTGCCATCCAACCCCCTTCACCTTGTGTAACTAGAGACTTGGGATAGAGTTTCAAATTTTGAGGGAAAATTTTTATTAGGAGTTTTAGTGACAAAATTTTATCATGTGTTTCTTGCAATAACTAGAGACTTGGGATAGAGTTTTAAATTTTTAGGACAAAATTTTATTAGAGGGAAGTTGCAATAAGTGAAATTTAAGAAAACAATAACAATACATAAATGATAATAATATTAAAAATTGAATAGACATAAAATAAGCATCTTTCTTTTTTACTCAATAGTCGTATGCCCTTTCTGAACCAATGAAACTGAGAGAGCGGGGGAAAAAACATAGTGACCGAGAGAAAAAAAAAAGAAAAAAGGAGGAAAGAAGTCGCCAATTTCGGAAGTGGGAGGCTTTGAAGCTTGCATAGCCAAAGGAAAAGGCAAAGTCGTGACCAAATCGAAGAAAGGAGGAGGCGATGTTGAGTGCGAGCAATGGAAATAGAGCTCGAGCCCAAGAAAAGGAGTCGAGGCTCTATGTGTGTGCATGCGAAGAAGTCGGGCCTCGCGTGAAGAGGAAGAGGAGACTGAATGAAGAAGGATCCTACGGTGATACTGCGGTCAAGCAAGAAGCTTCATATAATTATTTTGATTCCGTCGAGCGGGAAGAAGTTTCGTGCGGCTTTGTTATGCTCAAAGAAGAAAAAGGAGAAGAAGCATCGAGCAGAGAAGAGAAGAGAAGAGGAACATCCGTGCGAGAATGGGAGACCGAACTGTCGCTTATTGAAAGGTTTTAAAAAAATATTACTTTATGAATTTAATATATATGTATAATTATTAAGTACTAATGAGAGGTTTTATTTAATCATGATTTAGGTTATAGAAGTTCCAAATTTGACTTGAGAAAAGTTGAAGACAATAAAGAGAAGTTAGGATTTTATTTCCAAAAGTATTTCGTTTAAATTAATAATATTTAATAGTAGCATTAATTGTAATGATAAAGCTTAAAGTTTAAGTATAGAAATCTTAATTAAAATAATGTAATAAAACAATGATTAATAATTAATAATTAAATTAAAGCATAATTAAGTAATGTGATAAAATTTTAATAATATGAATATTTTATATATTATAGGTGTTCACTTGGAGGAGGCGACAAAATTAAAAGGAAAAAAAATCATATATAATTGAGTGAGTACCTATACTTTTAAATTATAGTAATATTTGATTTCTTTTGAATCAGATACACTATTAAATGTTTAGATAGATTTTATACTACATGACTAAGATTAAAATGATTTTGTTCTTTAAGTTCATTTGATCATATTGAATTGTGCGTCACTAATATTTGTATATATCCATCAAATGCATAATTCAAAATATTATATTATGTATCAAATGTTATGAAAAAGATAAGAATGAGATGTACCATTTTCATTGCTTACATGCGCATATTTGTCTATGATGCAGTCGCCCATTTATGGCACTAATAGAGGAATGCTGGGAATTCATACACGTAAATGGAAAATGATATTGATATTCAAGTATCTTAACTAGTACAAATTTTTAGATGGTGTTCATAAGATGGTTGTAGACAAATTAAAAAGATATCGATATGTAAACGACACTAAAATATAATGAATGTTTATAATTACTTTTAATGATCATATTAGATAGTACAAACCTCCAAAAGCTCTTAAATTTATTTACAATAAGCTTAATTTGATTGTGATATTATAATTTAAGAGTATGAGTATTCACTGTTTTGGTTGGTTCACAGTCATTTTAAACCAATATTTCGAGTTTAATTAATTGATTAAAAGATGAGCGACAGCACGGAAAATTTTTATAGAAGACGCGAACAATCTGACTTAAAATAAATTTATAACTGTTTTAACTTAATTTTTTTTATGTTGTGAATCTTTCATTTCTTAAATGTTAATTATAGAAAATGAATATAAAAAAATACAATTTTTTGCCGTCCAACAGTCTGTACCCGTCTCGGTTAATTTCAAGCCCTAAGTCGGGTTGTAATACCTAGAAAGTATTTTGGAAGTGGATTATGTAGTGAAGTGATTGTAGAATGGCAAGGCAACAAAAAACTGTGAGAGCGACGGTATTTTGAAGGGGTAAAAAGTGAAATCTGTTGTTGAACAGCAGTTTAGAGTCGATCGGCGGAGGGGCAGCGGCCCAGAAGCAAAAGACAGTGGACAGACACGAGTTTGACGACTTTCCTGGGTGAAAACAGCGGTCAAATGGCAATAAGTCAAAAAACAGGTGGCGAGAAGGATTCACCACCTGTTTAAACAGACACAGCACTTGCAAAAGAAAAGAATATAGCACTCCGCAGAGCAAAATTCCAAAAGAGAACTCTCAAATTCATAAACTCGACAAAAACTGCAATTCCAAAACCTACTACAACATATAAAAAGTCCCGTGATAGAAAAATACCTAATTAGAAAATAAGAAAAAATGAAAGAAAAGATGAAAACTTGCTAGAATTCAAATAAATAATTAAAAAAAGAAAACGGCGCGGTTGATTCTTCTACAATCATAGGATCCAGATGTTGTGATACTCGAGGACCACGGAATCCCACAGAAATATGATCGTGGGACAAGCTCCCGCATCACTCATGAAAATTCAACAATCATAGCTATTCGATTTTGACTTAAACATTAAATTCATATACATAATAATAGTATGGTGATTGTATTCATGATAGTGATATGGCCATAGCATCGAGAAACAGTTGTTTCATAAATATAAAGTGTGAAAAAAAAAACATAAAAATTGTCATAACACTGACATCATAATCTTGGATCGTGGAATGATCATAACATCTGGCATATCATTGATGTCATATACATAGTTAACAGAAAGATCATATCATTTGAATATCAACACATTCAATGGCATAATGTACCTTTAACATCTGAAGATAAATAATTATATGTTTTACCTCGAGCGCCCTAATAATAGTAGTCTATTGTAAATTAACTCATCGCTAGCCAAAACATTCATCATCAGCATAAACATGGCGTAGCTCATACAACTTTTATTCTTAGTGAAAACAATGCAGTTCAGACAACATATCAATAAATCCGCAATAGTCCAAAGTAGCAATTCATATCTTTGACATTCTCAGCTAGAGAATGTAAGAGTCATCAATGGAATGGTATCATCTTTAGCTAGTACAATTATAGGGGCTTAGTCAGTCAATATACACATGTAAGAATTCATGTATATTGGCTTTGTTTGCATAGACATTTAAATGTAATTGTTCCATGATCAATAAAATTGATGAGAAAGACAAAGCAAATTTTTCCATAAAGATGGTTTGGAAAACATGCCTTTAATTCGACGTGAACCTAACCACAAGAAAGCTTCTTGTTTATCATTTTCACTCTCCATCTGCTCTGAAAAAGTATCTGATGGAACATTGATTGGAGAGACTGGTGGAGAGGCCTTACTGGCATCCTTAGAGCTCCCCCTTTGATTATCAGAATCAAAAGAACACCCAGGACTTAACAGCATAGGATAATTTTCTCCAGTTTCTCCTACAAATTTTCACAAATGCATAAAAATCTAATTTAGGAAATGAATATACATCAAAAAAAGACAAACATCGTGCGACCTGAAGCTGAAAGATATATTAGTAGAATTCCATCTGAGGGTAGCTCTTCACATATGGTAGCAAGAACCTTTCTCACAAAACATAAAAATAAAATTGAATGGATTAGATTAAAAAGCAAGTACAATAGGCAGCAACAATCCTAGAGACAATGCAAATAAGGTGCCAAAGTGGAAGTATGTACTAATAACAATAGATTACAGGTAAGACCCTATGTCCTGCTTTGTATACCATGTGCTGCAAAAGACTCACTATAAACAAAGACAGAAACAGAAAAAAAAAAAAGTACAAATCCATGAACAAATTCTGCATTGAGGTAGGTCGCTGTTTAAATTACATGAATTGCAGAAATATAATGTATATTCCTCGATAGTCTAATATCATCTTGAATTAATGCATTCAACTAGTTTGATGATCTGTAAATCTTTAAAAAAAAGAGAGAGCATTTATGAACATTGCACCTATAGATTATCCATAAATAAGAAACTCCTCAAATTTTTCAAAAAGAAAAAAAAGCACCATATTTAAATGCTGGATAGAAAAATCTCTCAAATATACACAACGGAACAATCTAAACAATTTACCCAAAAAATATTCATGATGCCATGGAACTAAGTGAAGTCAGCATATTTCTTGAAAAAAGAAACCATAATCAACAACAAAACTGATCTCAATTCTGAACAATCCTATAATGTAATGAATTGTTTGGCATACACTAGTCGCATCTAAGAGCCATATCTCAGTGTTAGGACAAATTGTTGATAAATTACAGCCAAACAACAACATTCATTAAACTTTAATTGTTTTGTTTCCATTCCACCACTATGTATTTTAGTTGCATACAAAAACTACGATTGTGCATGATAAACAGTGAAATTTCTTAAGGATTGATCAAATCATCATTAATTTGATTCACATAGAAAATATAACTGAGACTAACTAAACATCAGGCCCACATTTCCTAATGCAACTTTGCAGTTTTGATTTGGTATTTAACCCAATTATTTTGTGAGTTGTGGTTGCAACAAGAACAAATATAAGATACCATGCTATTTCTTGTGAAAATTAAGTATTACATCCATCCATGAAAAGCTCGTGATTTGTTGGTTTAAACTTGGTCAATGATGCGAACATTACAGTGAACTATAAAATAGCTTCACAATTTAAAATTTTATAATTGAGATAATTTCACTTTGCATATCTTTTCGGATGTCAGAGAAACTTTTCCATGTTTTTGCTCCATAAAAGCGAAACATGGCATCATTTATTAACAAAGATGAATTATCATATGTTCAAAAATTGTAAGCATATCTTCGACTTAGTAAAATATAGCAGGCTCGACTAATACAGTTAATAAGAAAATAAAGAATATAAACTACATTTCCTTAAAAAAAATATCAACAGTGAACAACAAAAGGAAACCAAAGCTTTTACTGAAGAATCAACATGTCAAGGTAATAAATTTTGGTAACAAATTCATTGATAATGTCTTATTTCACATGAACTATTGTCAATGTTTTCAAAATATGGAAAAATGTATTAGAAGTAAAGAAACGAATCATACTTATAATGCAATATAAATGCTTGTTAAAAGCAGAGAAATCAATCACAGTGCAACTCGAGCTATATATCATATCATCATTAAGAATTTTGATTTAAAACAGTATTACAGAAAGCCCGACACTTTCTGTTTTTCTTTTTTTTTTCTTTTTTTTCTTTCTAAAATTCAAGTAATTATTACTGGACAACGCTCCCATATGGTGTTTTTATACATCAAAATTCTTTTTGACAGAATAAGTACTTTAGGGTTAATATAGGCAAACTCACCAAAAGAAAAGATGTAATACTTGGGCGATACAAAATTACTTTCTGTGGGTTGGGGGGTAGGGCAGAATCTCTAATGTCTTGTTGTAGGTTCATGCGATTAGGTCCTCCTCCAGTGTTGCCGCTATCAGTAGTAGCAATGTTTAAGGAGAATGAGCCACATGGTTCCCACTCCAAACACTGAAGCATTCTAAATGTGTCTAGAGTAAGCTCTGCAAACTTAACCTAGACAGGACAAAACCGCATAAAACTTGAGTTTAAAACATTTAAAAGCAGTGGCAGAAAACAAAATACATAAGATCATAAAGACTATAATGTGAAATGAAAAATATTACAGCAAAGGAATATAACCTGCTAACCTCATTGTGACAATAGCTGCTCAAGATTGCATCACGTAGAACTAATTGTTTCCTAGAGTTGTAAGAAGCAGCCGGAAGAGAATATGGATGCATGTCATAGACAAAGCTATATCTTAAGGGCCTCATATTCATAAAAGATGTATCGAGTTTCAAAAATCTGAAAATTTCTTGAACCACATGCTTCCATTCTTTGTACTCTATTTCCTGAAATACAAATTTAGCATTGCCAATAATAACCAGGCAACCTTTAAAATGAGGATATCGACAATAGAAGAAGTACTGCACATGACCACATAACAGAGCTTTCTTTTTACTTTAAAGAAAAAGAGAAGAATGCTATTCAAGTGATTAATACTTATTTACAAACCATCATTAAAGGATTAAATAAAAAAGGTCACATAAGTAATATTTGGTAAAGTCAACTCCATCTTAATCTTTAAAGATATATATTAACCGGCAAAGAAGGACGTGCAATTCTTCTATACCTAACATATTGGATGCTGAAATATAAAATAAAATAATTAATAAATGCCAGCACGGACAATCCCAAGCGGCTCGGATGAAAGTAGGATTAAAGGATTTTGATTTAATTGTTCCCTTAATTTTTTAATACAGCCAAACAGCTTATAAAAATTGTTTGGTTTTGTAAATTCTCCAATCTTCAGAATAAGGATAAAGGTTCAAATCACTCTAAGCCCTTCATTCAAAAATTTCTAGGATGAAGGAATTATGAATTAGAGAGAGGAAGGGAGAGAGGATGGGGGTGTGAAAGAGTGAGAGAAAAAGTGATGGAGGAGCGCCTCCCGCACTGACACGAGCGTCCAACGAGGTTTCCCGTGACCCCGTGACCACGCACACAATCGACTCACGCGAATGGAAGATAACTAAACCGAGCGGCCATGTCTTCGATTCCTTTCCAATTTTAACAAATTTTCTATTCTCCTTTCATTTATTTATAGTCATTTCTTATCAATGTGTTGTTAAAAAGTTGTTTCTATTGCGTTTCTATCAAGACAACTATCGAAGCCCAAGTTTTCTCTTCTAAGATTGTATCCAATGATACTTGGGTTGTATCTCATCCAAGGTGACGATTATCTTCGACACTCCCCATCAACCGTTGTCACCTTCATCGTTGTCACCATTGCAACCATCACTCTCCCCAAAATCAACAACCTTGTTGTCTCCCTGCAACTGAACCCTTCCTCCTACCCAGCACAGCCACCTCTACCCTTCCACAACCTCCCCGCATCACTGCAAATCACCGTTCCTCGCAGTCTCCATCTGAAGAATAGCAAACAAACAATTTTTCTATTGTCCAGTCGTCTGGCGTCGCTGTCGCAGCCTCACCAACGTCCTTACCACCCTATGACAGTATTAACTTGATGTCAAGCCCTCCCCCTGGCTATTTCCAGCAATCCACCACCCTTCCAGCCATCCTTACCACCCTCTTTCACTGCCAGCCTGCCATCCAGCCCTCCCCGTTGTTGTTTCTGGCTACACACCACCTTTCCAGCCGCCCCTACTTGGTGTCGCTCCTCATCCACTCCATTCCAAACATCTCACACTACATCTGAATCATCTAACCGATCTCCAGCAACCACATATTGAACCCTAAAATGAGTTTGTGTTGTGTTGTTATTTCTAATTTTAGAGTGTGTTTGGTTGTAACTGGACATTTAGCTTTTTCAGTAATAATTTTATTTTCTGATTGTTTTTTAGGTTAACTCTGGTATCATTCGAAATCAAAGTTAGCATGATCTCAATCCTATCCTAAGGTTTCTAGCATCCACAAATCCCTTCTCTTTGCTAATTTTCCAAACCGGCTACCCTACACAAAAATTTTCTTTCGTATCCTACATAGCCCCTAGATGCCCTCTTCCTCCTACCAAAACACTAGTCATGCCACCGACAAGACAATAGCATGAAGTCTGATTGAGGGGAAAGGACATCATGCCTTTATGAAAAATCCACAAAAGTGTCTAGAAGATTTTTAGGGATTAAATGCAATGAGAAGCCCTACAACTGTAATAGAGGCTCGTCGTTTTCGATAGATCGTCCAGAGGGGTCACATAGATTCAATTTAATCCCGAAGACAACGAATCGATGTCCCGAAGATTTCGCATGAAATATTTAGATATCAAAATTTTGATTTAAATGGTGGATTTGTCATATTTTGATGGTCACATGAATCTGGATGAGTTCATCAAGTAGCTCTAAACCTTGAAATAAGTCTTTGAGTATCGGGATGTCCAGCCGGAAGAAATGGTGAAACTAGCTGTCAGCAAGTTATAGAAAAGTGCATCTCAGTGGTGGGCAAACTTGAAGATTCTTTGATAGTGATAATCAAAGAGTAAAATTAATACCAAGTCCAAGATGAAAAAATAAATACATCTCTAGTACCTACCCGCACATTAAAGGTAGAATATGTGAATAAGGCCTTACCAATTATAGCACCATCCAAGGGTTGCCGCCACATCTTACGGGCAGAGTTCAACCCCAGGATCAAAAAACAAGAGTGCGCCAAACTAAACATCTAAGTCGACCCGCTTGAGAAGACACTAATTCAGAGGGGAGAACAGATGTAACCAATCCGCATTCACAAAACCATCACAGCCTGAAAACGCTTCAAGTGTCACGGATTTAAATCAAATTGCAAAACTAAGAAGATAATCTTTTTCACTGATTGGGGAGCAATTGAAGAAATAAACAGTGATTCAGGAGAAGATGAAGATTTCAGAGAGGATTCTTAACTTCCAACATATGAGGAATAGACACCATCGATATCAACTCAAAAGACCTCTCCCCTCTGTATTCCCTTATTTGTGACAAGATAAATCCATCGACCTAGTGCCTAGCCTCACAACTAGGGCTGTAAACAAGCCAAGCCTGAGCGAACTCAGGCCGGGCTCGTGATCGGCTAGTTCGAAATTGACTTGTGTTTGAAATGATTCGTGAGTTCGGCTCGAAAAACTTATTCATGTTCATGTTCGACTCGTGTTCGGCTTGAAATTGGCTCGTTATGATATAAAATTATTATAATATTTAATTTAAAAAAAAATTAAAAAAATCTTTTTTCCAAAAAACTATTTGCATAAAATTAATTAATAATATTTAATTTTATGAATAATTATTATGTGTGTGCGTGTGTGTGTGTATATATATATTAATTTATTTATTTATTTTCAAGTCAATTCGAGCCGAAGACGAGCAAACAAACTTTTATTTGAATTCGGCTCGTTTACATTTCGAGTTTAAAATTTTTTTCATGTTCGACTCGTTAGTCTAAACGAACGAGCTTAACACGAGCTGTTTTACGAGCCGAACACGAGTTGCTCGCGAACAACGAGCCAAATTGACAGCCCTACTCACAACCCTCATTGTCTACCAAATCCCAACACTAATCATTGCCCTCATTAGCCCCATAACCATCACCGAACAGCACTCATTGTGAAGAATGATGCCGCCCTAGCAGTTGCTTCAAAAAAATTGTCCATGACTTTTTTTGTGATGGACCACCATTCTTTTTTTTATTTCGGTGTGTGTTGGATGATACAAAGCTTTCATTCTAGCCCATTAAATAACTGTTCTTTTTTATTTATAAAATTGATGTTACTTTTGATTCGAAACTTATTATTAGATTGATTAAAAATTGATTAAAATGATTGATTGTCCTGATTGATTGTCCTTTTTTTTTTTGGGTCTATTATAGTAATACTTTAGTCAACTTAAATTATTGATTTGTTGGATATTTTAATATCAAAATTTTAAGGGGTCGTATTAACATTATATTTTGATGGTGTATCATACTCTAATATTTACTCCCTGCCAAATAAAAACAATAATTTGCCAGCACTTATTTTACAAAAAAGAAACAGTTATTTGTATTAAGAATATTGTATTTATTGTTTGCTTTGCAGTTTAAAATTGTATAGATTCATAATTCTTGCAACCAAACAGACCCTTCACCCTTTTTATTGCACATTAATAAAAAGAATTTTAAAAAATTAACAAAGTTTTAAAATATGGACAGCAACAAAATTTCAGGATTTAAAGCTTCAATGTTCACTAAATTTATATTTGCTAAATTTCACCTGTATCCAAACACCGCTACAAACAGAGGGAACGAGATTAATAGCTTCCTGATTTGGAGAACTCCAAAGCAAAAATATAATAATTAAGACCATTAACAAGGTGTTTTGAAATCTAAAATCCATCAGCTGACCAGCAATTTCTCATATCCGATTCGAATTAAATAGATGGTAAAAACAAGCTCCCGATGACAAAAGATGACGACTACGCGTTGTACAAGAAAGACAGACCTGAAAGCTCCTCCTGGACTCATCAACAAGCATTCTAAGATGGTTTGCGAGTTGAGAAACCATGTCCCGGCGGCCGAGAACGAGGCACACGATCAGAAACCGCGCGAAAAAACGAAGCTGCTTGTTAGCCAGTGGAGGATCTGGCGGCATCTGGCGGCGCACCGGCTGCCGCTGCGGCTGAGTCCCGGAAGTACTCCCGCGTTAGGATGGCTTCGTAGAAGACGTAGGACTCAGCGAGGTTCCCGCTGTCACTCGTCCTCTGGTACTGGAAGTAGTACAGCTGCGCAATCCGCGAGGCAATCTCACCAATCTCCCACCGCTTCAGGCCGGCCTCCACTAGCTTCTGCCGGTGCTCCTGCTGTAGCTTCCACAGCTGCGTGTAGATCTTAAAAGCCTTCTGGAAGTCCGCATTGTTCCTGCGTATCTCCGCACAAAGGAAGTGAGATTTTCTAGGGTTTCGTTCAAACGAAAACAATTCAATCATTACCTAGCACGGCCGAAGTTCGGAAGTTCGCGGATACGGGAGAACTTGCGATCTCCCTTATCGAGGAGAGACCAGAAGTACTCCGTAACAGGGATGGAACCCTGGGCCATGGGGGTTGCGGGTGATGATGGCAGGGTGGCGCTACGGGAGGGGAGATGGAGAGATTATCCAAATGATGGCTGAAGGGAAAATGGAGCGTGCAGTTTCTTGTCAAACCAGAGATGCATCGGAGGTCGAGGCTGTTAGATGGATCTGCCGGCGGTGGATTTGAGCGCTTGGGAGGTGGCTGTTGAGACCGGAGGCAGAAAAATCGGCTCCGACGTGGCAGTTTATTCGTTTGTATGGCAGATTTTAATTGGTGATATTGAAATATTTCAATAATTATTTTGTGAAATGAGCGTTAAATCAGTATCGAATTATTTTTATTATTAATCATAAATTTAATTAATTTTAATGCTGCGCGTGCCGAGGTTAATAATTTTTTTTTTTTTGTTTTATTAACGTTTTGTTCTTCTTTTATAATTTATAAAATAAATTGATAAAATAATATAAATATTAAAATTTAATAAATCAATATGAAATGACATAATTACACTCGAAGAATAGAGTGTAAATAATAAGAGATAGAAAGAAACAAATAAAACAAGAACGAATAGTAATCTATCGTGTTTTTTTCATAAAATTATTTTTCTATTTGTAGAGAATGGGGGCACAATGATAATATTACATCTCTACTCCTGATTTAAATGGGTTTGTATCGGGGTATTTCTAGCATTTGACATATATAAGTTAATGGCTTGGTTGCTCTCAGGTTTGGCCAACTAAGCCTAATAGGCTTTTGGTCGAGAAAATTGGCTTGATCTGTTAAGCTTGGTTTATATGGGTCGGTGGTTTGATGTGGCACGCTTATCAATCATTGACCTCTTATGAGGATTAGCTTGTCGTCATTGAGATGATTGGAGATGTTAAAGAATTGAATCTTTCCTTGGACAAACTCTTATATGATGACAATATTGATTACTCTTTTGTTTCGTTCTCTGACTAAATGGCTCGCTCTTATATCCTCTAATTGTGTTTGATCTGTGTTGTGGTTCGGTTGGCTTTGGCATGGCTGGCATGGCTCGAACCTCTTCACTCGGTTAAACAAGCAAACCTCGTGATTATTTGTTAATGGGTCATCTTTCGCCGTACTATTCTCTTATGGATCGTCAGATCTCCTCAGCAATAGCATTGCACATTTTCAATGTACATGTTTTAAGATCACAATTCTCCTACTTTTTGAATGTGACATTGGGATATGAATATGATAATTAAATGTAAATGTATATTTTTATTTTTGTTTGATTAATGGCTTAATAACTGAAGTCTCTTGATTTTTCAGACATTTGATTCTTATAAATATGACACGATGAGACTCCTTACATTCCTTATCTGCTCTGTGACTGCTCTTGCTTGAATCAGTCGGCTTTCGGGGTGTTGCGATGGAGCACATATCAAGCCTCTATGATGATATCTCCAATAAAGATTTGATATGTGTCACCTTTGGGAGACTGAAATATCAAAATTGTCCGGGAGGCGAAATTAAGAAGAAAGTCATCATTGAAAAGAGAGAAGAGGTTCTGCTTTCACTGTTTGATCAGGTGGGATTATTTGATTCAATTGTCGGAAATAAGCGAAGGAATGTTCGACCGACCAGCTCAACCTTCTATCCAACTGCTCAACCTTCCATTGCAGTACAAGACCTACCTATCACGCAAGCCGCATAAGAGGTTGTTGTCGCTATTTCATTGCACGATGAGGGTGATGTATCAATTAAAGCATATGAGTTGGATTGGCTTCTGGATATGAGGAGCCTCGGTATTATGTGTTGGATTTTATTTTATTTTTTAGTCATTTTTTTCTTTATGTTTTGTTGTGATGTAGATGGCTCGACTTTGAGATGCTTGAGCGAGGATCCAGCTCTAGCTAAGGTGTCAGCGGTAGTGGAACAAACACCTTGGAAGGGTCTCGACTCTCGAAGACTGACCCCCCAAACGATCCTCTCGAGACACATTAGGGGGGGCAACTAATGGGTTTTGAATATCTCTCAGCAATTTTTCTCTTTATATGGACGAGATCAAGAAATCCTTTGATCAATTGGTAGGTATCCAGTGAGGTGATGAGGTGTGTGAGTTGTCGTGTTGTGTGAAAAAAGAGGAGAGGATAAAGTAGGTGGTGGCTACTCTTCATCTGGAACAGTCGGATGTTTGTGAGAGATCATTTATACTACGGGCTTGAATAAAAAATGGATCGATTAGTTTAAGTATGGTGAAAAAATTTTGCATATGAAGTTGCTTTGGTTAAGTCGACCCCATTGTAATGTACTATATATTGAGCTGGTTTTCGAGCAACTTTTGTGATTTTAAGGCATTTTTATTAAAAAAATTATTTTCCTGCCTCATTTTTTGTGTTGATGTGATTGTTATGTCAGCGCATTTTTCAAACCGCTATAGAGCTCAAATTTTACCTTTGCACAATAGTTGAGCTTCTTCTGTCTCCCTTTATATATAAAAGGCACAAGGTTGGTAACGTTACGCTTTACTCCACCATTTTTCTTTCTTTATTGTTTTTTTTCTATTCTCCTTTCTCCGTACTTTGCTTAAATGGCTCCGTGATTTTCTCCGAAGGACATTAGGTTGGTCGTGTAGAGCAATCAATCATGGATGACTCGAGAAGAGGTGAATTGCTTACAGGAGACTTGCATCTTCAATCCCACTGTCAAACTTCATATCCCTCGTGAGGCTGACTGAGATACCTCCATGTACGGTGCCTACCTCATCTTCTATAGAGACCAATTTCATTCCAGACTCCAACTACCTTTTTATAAAGAGTTACATGCCATTATTGCCCATTATTGTGTCATCCTTTGCCCAGAATATGCCCAACTCTATGGTGGCTATGATAATATTTGTTTTCTTCTGCTGCCAATTTGAAATTTTGTGGTTGGTCAAGCTCCACAGTTATATGTGCTCATTTTATGTTGGCCCGAAAGGATTCATTCAAATTGCCTTGGTCGACAAATTATAACAATTGTGGATGGAAGAAAAGGTGAAGGACTATAAGCCCCATTCTTGCCTGGGTTCTTCCCCTCTTGAGTGGTACATCTAGCTGTCCCATTTGGCAATGCTTTGACCAAAGCAAAGAAGACAGTTTTTGCTAAAGCATTGTTAGAAGCCAACGATGTTGAGCGCATTGATTGTCGTTCATCAATATCTCGATCTAAATATTGTCAACCACGTGCTTCAGCTAGAAGCTTTTGATCAAATAACCGAGGAGGACTTTAAAGCCTCGACACTCAGGAGGTCGAGAGGGAGGCTGCAGTTGTTGATCGAGTGGTCAAGAAGAAAGTCAGTGTGTTTGCTCGTTCATAAGTTGCTTGCCCTGAAACAACTGGAATGTCGGGCCGACTGAAATCCATGGTGGCTCTTAAGAAAATTTGGAAGGTGCGGAACTTATTTATTATGTTTTTTAATTTATTTATTGTCTTTCAAAGATTAGTCATGGACGAGCTAGACCTCATTAAGAGGACAACATTTTTTTTGTCTGCAAAAAGTTCTCCGTCGGTTGTAGGTCTATCAAGCGTGCAATAGCAAGAGGCTCGGAGGATATCTAGCTGGGTGAAGTCAAGCCGTCATGAGGAGGGGCTTCAATAAAAGACAATAAGCAACATCTATCGCCCCACAGTCGACTACTCAATTTATAAAATTAATATATAATAAATTTATAAATTAAATATATATAATAGTTGTATATATATATATACATATATAATTTTATATTTATACAATATATAAATTTTTAATTTTATTATACAATTGTTCATCAATCTATCTATCAGGGATAAAGCGAGTCATCTTTCTCTATTCAGCCCAGCTAGATCTCTTTAAGTTGAGCCTCCAAACAACTACGATAGGGAGCATCGTTATGAGGGAAAAGCATATGCAATTAATTTGAGCGGCATGCCTCCTACCCTATCCTAAAAGATTTGAAAGGAATCCTCGTTCAAGTAGATTCTGATGCAAGACATCGAGGCAAAGGTGACCATGAGTTTGGTTAGTGAGTTTGTGTTAATTGATCTTCTAGAGAATTGGAATTTTGATTTTCCAGCAACGTAACGCAATCATCTGACGATAGCCAACATCTTATGGTCTCCTATCTATGAAGATGCTCTTTTGGAACATAACTTACAAGCCATGTGTTGAGCGACTGACAAATACCATTTGATTGTATGGGAAGCTTCTCATCTACAGCTGACCATCCTTCTCCATGAATGCAAAAAAATACTTGAAGATTGAGGAATTATTAGCGGTCAAAAAAAGGGGAAGGCAACTAAAGCTGAGATACTAAGATAATAAGGGTTTCTATCGACTACCCAAGGGGAGAACCAAACCATGAGGGATAAGATGGCAACCCTGCAGACGTCTTGCATTTTTTTTGTTTAGCTCTCCTCTCACCCGACTCATGTGACTCTTCTTGCTACGAAGTTCAAGGACGGGATTTCCTTCGACATCATCTGCATGGTGAAGGCCAAGTTGGTCTCCCAAGAATGGGCCAACATAGTGATGTTTGTCATGTTGCTCTTCGATTTAGAGGAAGAGGAGGAAGAAAGTGTTGAGGATGATGGGGGTCATGGAACATTTAACCCACTCTCGGATTCTTCTACAACGCAGAGATTTTTTTTCTTTCCAAACACTTGTAAAGAGTTGTTAGAAAATTTTTTAAGCTTTATGCATGAAAATGAGGTTTTTGGTTAGCCACACATTTGTTTTGCACTTTATCTTCACTTTGTTTTTTTTTTCTTGCATCTTTGTGTTGACTGATCTTGTAACGGCCCTCTAACTATAATTATTAATGGGTTGACAATTTTAAGTATATTCTCGGTAAATTTGTTGAGTTACCACCTGACTCAAGTTCAACACCTCTCATGTCTCCATTGCTCAATTAGGCCATCACCTTAGACGGACCACATCTTATGTAGGATGTATTAAGCAGATATTGTCACAGCTTAATGGGGATAACCATATAAACTTATTCAAAGGGTGATTCTTATGTTGTCCATTGCAAATCTTATCACTTAAATGGGCTAGGAATCTCACCACCAATGAGACATGTTTTCATGATGCATGAGCCCTGTGGTTCAAATTTTGTGTGGTTTTATCGATTAGATGTTTCCCGTCGTCGTCAACTTCTTAGAAGAAAATTTTGATCGTGCGCTACTGGTTACTATCGATTCTATGAAAATTGTAATGATCAAACATTGCTCATCATTGTTGATTTTGTGGCTAGGATGGAATCACTGTTGATATATCATTTCACGTTCCCTGAGTATCAATTAAATTTTGATAATCTCTCACATGAGCTTCTTGAGTTACCCGGATGTTGGTTAGACATCAGATCACATATATATAATTATAATAAATTATAATTTGTTCAGTTTTTTGGAATTTATAATAAAATACAGGGGTTAGAATGACAATAAAATTTTATTGTCGGTATATGATTTTTTTTTCTAATGATGTAATATCTCAAAATCATCTCCACTCCATGTCCAAGGCACTCATTTTCCCATGTCGGTCTTCAACTTATATGCTCCATGGTAAACATGATTATCAATGATGAATGACCACCAACAATTAGTAGAGCTTTCTCAAGGCTTGTCCTCACGCTGCTAGGTCAAATTTCTTTTGTACAAGATCACTGATGACAAAAATCTTCTCTCGAGCATGATTGTTGTAGTTTCGATTCAAATGTCTTTTCACTTCTTCTTTGGGTTTGGGTCAGCTCATTTCTCATCTACAGGTTCGAGCACGCACATCACTCCTTCATTTGTTTTCTGTCACTCGACTAAGTTCGTTTCTTAGATTTCACTTGTCCATCAAAGGGAAACCACCAGATTAAATAGTGAGGTCTTACCAAACATTGTCTTTCGTAAGATTTTGGCGTTAAGACTCAAGTGAATGCTCGGGTTCACTTGAAGGATGTCCTCGAATGACTTCCTATCCGAAAGGTTTTCTCTAGGCACAACAAAACCTAATCCCTAATCCTCTACACAATCAGGTTTAAAGGCTATAGGAAGAAAAAAAGTGAGAGCCTACATCGAAGGTGTTCAGGAAGAAGCTCTCCTAATGGTAAGAGAGACCAAAAAAATTTCCAAGCTCCAACATAGGCTCTTCTCCAAAGGACGATGAAGCCCTCCTTGTGAGGAGGTTCCGACGACGTCAAGAAATCCTTTGAAGGTCCTTCTTCCAAGAAGGATGAAGCTCTCCTAAAGAAGGAGATTCTGACAAGACTTCAAGCAAGAAACCTTCTCTTCTCTTGCTTTCTCTAACAAAATTGTAGTCGAAAAAGAAGGTCCTTACCCCATATGGGAATATCTCTGGTGAGCATAGATGCCAAAAATAGCCTAAGGTCGGTCTGTGACCAATTTTCGGCAGTCAGACGACACCTTGCCAAAAAACAGAGGCTACCTCACGAAATGTGTTACGACGGTATGGTTGCACCGTGGTTATGACGTGGTCAGGCTGCCCTATAGGCATCGTGAACGGGCTAGTAGCGTGGCCTCGCCCGAAGGTAGCATAATTATGTCAATCGCTCTGTTTGGTCAGTGTGACTATGTTGACCTCAGCCGTGGTCACGCCGAAAGACACAGATCAAATTGATAGAGAATCATATGGAGTGGTCATGCCTAAAATTGGCATGGTTACACTATAAAGACGTGCGTGATCATGCCCAGTTTAGGCGTAGTCACGTATGACCCAGCTGGACTACTCCCCTGTTTGAGGGGCCTTACACCATTTAAACTAAGAAAAGCCTGCCCTAAGTGAAAATGACGTTCTTGACTCACCTGAGCTAAACGATCTTTTGTCAACGAGCAAGCCTAATCACAACCCAATTTACTTATATTGTGTCAAACAGAATCTGTCAATATGATCGAAGTTGTCTGACGGACGTAATGTCGATCGTCCTTCACCTTAGTGAAAACCAGACCCCATCAAAGTATGCTTGACCACATGTCGGAGGATCAAAATCGAATATCTAGGGCCTTAGGAGGTTGCATGTGCATGAAGCATACTCTCAAATCATTGAAAGGGACACTCTACGCTTTTGGCATCGAAAAATGCTAGCAACACAGAAATAAAGAGAAAACCTTGTCATAAGCCCTTTAAATTATATCCTGACTCCTCTTGTTATTTCTCGACATTGAGAAAGTGTTATTTGTGGAGTTGCCCCCAAATAATACTTTCTCAACTCCACAAATAACACTAATGGGGTATTGTTACTTAGCACTTGGATTTCATATTAGCGCCAACATTTTCTGAGGTTTTTTGGCTTCTCAAACATGTGAAAACCAGCAATCAAAGTTGGCACTTGACCTTATATATAAAAGAATTACGTAGCTTTTTAAGCTTGTATTTTCTCATATTTGCATCCTCTTATTCATGTATATTATAAGACTCATAGGCTCGTGCCTTTTCAGGCTAATGCCTTATAGGAGCTTGAAATGCACTAGTGTTTTCTGAGGCTCGCAGCCTTTTGAGGTATTTGATGTACTGACATCCTTTGAGTCTTGTAACCTTTTAAGGTATTTGAGTGAAGCACGTTTCAACCACTTGCTCTATTGGAGTCTTTCTAATGAGAACCCTTTCCACTATTAGCTTCCCGTCAAAACTCGGCTTCCAGGGTCATGGTAGCTTTTTATTGAGTCTTGCCTCCTGGGCTTGACTTTCAGGGGTGTCGCATCTTTCTATCGAGTCTTACCGCTTGGGCTTGACTGTCAGTGACATGGTGGCCTCCCATTGTGTCTTTCCTCTTGGCCTCGGTTTTCAGTGGTACTGTATCGTCTCATTGAGTCTTGCCTCTTATGCTTGACTTCCAGAGGCATGGTTGGAGATCTCTCGCCAAAACGAATGTTTGAATTTTCTCAGGCTTAAGTCAAAGCACATCTATTTAATGATTGTAACCTTTTGTAGCATAGTTGAAAGAAAAATCCATTAAGAATGCAAGGCCCGTCCTGGGTTGTATAACTGGAGATACTAGACCACATTATTCTGCAACAAACAAAGTCATATGCAATCTACTGAGGATAGTTGACCCATCCTAGGTTGTTGGTCAAATCTTTTGTTGACAACTGTAACCTGTTACAGAAAAGGTCAAAGGAAATTCATCAATGGTTTTTTACCTATCTGAGGCTGTTAATTGAAGCTTCTGCTTTGACAACCGCTGCCTGTGATGGAAGAGGTAAAATTGAACCCCCTATGATCAATTTAGTCCAAAATGAGGCATCAGAGATGTTCTGCGATTCTTGAGATAGACATGGGTCACAATGGATCATATTTTCTCTTGGAAATATGACAACAAACATAATCAAGAATGATGTTTGAAAACTTTCCAGTCGCTGCTTATGAATTCATTATTCCTCTAGTGAGTGTGTTCTCCACAAAAGCTTATAATACAATCCATGTATTGAACCTTGAAGAGATCATTTTCTTGACAAAGGTTGTGGAATAACTCCAGGATGGCGGGGACACAGAGAGAGTGTTATTTGTGGAGTTGCCCATTATGAAAGTAATTCTCGAAGATTTGATGTCCAAATAGAACATTAGATGAATATCCTACCATAGTCGTGCCTATAATGATAACATGATCGACCATTCAAGACTGCAGTGAAAGCTGCCCCTCACTCTGGAAGAATTTATGAATGAATTGTGTATAAATAGGATGAGAGAAGACAACCCCATTATAATCGTGCCCGATATGCTGACTTGAACGACCTTTATAGACAGGAGTGAAAGTTGCCACCCACATTGAAGAATGCTTCGAAGATGATCTTCAAAATGCAAAGATGGTTACTTCACTAGTTGGATGATATACATCATTGAGAAATGAAGCAGGGGCTTGGTGTCTCAGAGTTGAAGACAATGTTGAACAAGACTTCGTTTCACACAATTAACACCAAACTGATGTATGCAAAAAAATTCACAATAGTAGAGTAATAGATTATCATCTTAGCATTGCGTAAGAATTCAACTCACACTCAAATGAAAGGAAAACAACCAGTAGAAACACCAGAAGATTTTATATGAAAAACCAATAAAAGGGTAAAACCACGGGGCCTAACCCAGCTGATGAATTCCACTATAAAATGATGTTACAGTTGCAACCACTTCTATCACATTCAGAAAAGGTTTAGAAGGTCTCCTAAGTTACAACGTCAATATAAGAATGATCCAATCACAAAGAAGAGACGGCGATCGATGATGATCGACAAGAGCCAACAAATGGTGGTCGGTGTTGGCTGTCGATAGCAGGAGTGATGCCGGACTTCAGCTCTTATCAAAGCTTCAAGCTCTTCCTCAGGCCACAAGCTCTCTCCTCCCCCATAAGAGGGGTGAGCCTTTATTTATAAAGTTCCTATTGTAATTTATATTGGAATATAAAACACTTCGATTAGACGCCTTAAAGATATTTTCTTGATCAGACGATGTTTGATGGACATTTGAGGGTCTTAACACAAAATTGAGTGATATTGGGTTAGTTGGATTTTGTCCCGTCGATGTGCTTGATTTAACCATAAGCTCATCATATGCGACATCCGTTTGACCTTCCAAATATGCCTGTAAAGCTTCCAAAAGTTGTTTAATGTCTTGATCGGGACTTGATTTGACTCAGATTATACCAAAATTGGCATCATTATGTTCATCCAGCTGAGCTGATCAACTTGACAGTAAGTTTGCTGAAATCGAAGCTCAAGATGATTTTTAATTGATATGTGAACATTTTTTGCTCAAAGAATTGTCTTGAAGTCTGTGACTTGCCTCAAGATTTATGTAAGATGATAAAAGTTTGTTCATGATGCATCACCTATAAATATGGATTATTTAATGAGATACACAATACATCTTATTCTTCATTATTGTATACTTATCTCTCATTCTCTCATTATATTACATTCTAATCTATGAGGTGTGATTCATACACATGCCAAGTCAACAATTAACATAAAATTTTAAGAGTTATATAGGTAAGTAGGGTAAAATTATTTGATATTTATGTAAATCCCTATCCATGAAACTCCGCATTTTGAACTTTGTCTCGTTGTCACGTACTATTAAAACTCACTGCCAAACATTAAAATGAAACTCTGATACATTCGATTAAAAATTTAAAACGCCTCTTGTTGAATTTTAGAACTGCGCTCGAAGCTCAAAACTCAGAGCAGCGGCAAATGCCGAAGAATATCTGGAGGCGAGAAAGCTGAGATGAAGATTGTAACTTACAATGTGAACGGCTTGCGGCAGCGCGTCTCCCAGCATGGCTCTCTTCTCAAACTGCTCAATTCCCTCGATGCTGACATCATCTGCTTCCAGGTCTCCTCTTTTCTATCCCGGATTTGCTCGCCTAATAAATTTTTTTATTTTGATGCCCTAGCTGGTTGTGCACGAGTCGGTATGTCAGATAGGGTCCGTGCTAGGGATTGGAGACTGAAATTATTTGGCGCTGTTAGAAAGCAGAAAAGAAGAAACTAGAAAGGGCAATGAAGTAGATTTAGGGTTTGAGAAGATGTTTCTGTTCTATCGGAGGCTAGTTTTTGATTAACTATTTGTACATCTTGGTCCCACTGTCCCTTGCAGGGATAGAAAACCCCCTAACAAATTTAGTCATCAGCAAATATATTATTAGATCATTATGCTCAGTAAAGTCAATTGATTTTTAAAGTGAGATGCCATGAGAAATTTAATATGTATAGAGAAAATGGTTTGTGCTGAAGGTATATTAAAGGACCTGTATGATGTAACATTTACTAATATTAAAAGTAGTTGTGGAGTGAGCAAAGTACTTTATAATTTCAGTAGGATTATGTATGGATCAATATTGAGTATTCTTCTTTTTATATTGGTTATGGAGATGCTTACGATGAGAATTCGAAGTGAGGTAACTCAGTCTAGGTTTTTTTGTAGGTGAAAGAATTCTAATAGGTGAGGTTAGTGTCGAAAAAAGGGGAGAGATAGAGCAATGTGAAACATATTGGATGATAAAGGCTCAAGATTAGTAGAATAATGATCAAGCATGTGACGTATAATTTTAATGGCGTGATATTAGCAGCTTTTATCCAATATCCCAATGCTACTAAAAAAGTAAAATAATGCATAAAATTGTGGGAAAATTTTGAGAAGGAGCACGTAAGATAGGGAATTTATGGGGAGGAGCTCCCTTAAAAAAGTTTAATTAGGAGCATAAACTACCCCATGGGTGGTGTTTCATGCTTAAACGCTACTTTCATAAAGAACGCCCCCCTTAGGGGCATTTCCTTTATAATATTAAGTTTTGTAATCATTTATGATATTATATATTAATATTAAAAATGTTGTATATAATAATATTATTATTAAAATTAAATGATAAATTTATACTATATTAATTATTCTTTAGATAATTTCAAATTAATTAAAAAATATACCAGAACAAAATGAAAAAAATAACAATAAATTATATTAAAAAAAATATTTTACAATAAAAATTATCATAAGACAATGCTTTCGTATTACAATTATCTTTTATGCCGATGTGGAATGATGCATGAACCCGGTGCATATCGAGAAGACGGTTGTAATGTTTGTTCTCGCAATTGGTGGTATTGAAAATTTTCTTCAACATCATCATCTTTAGCAGCATTTTTCGTAGCTTTTTGGGGGCTTGGGTTACATAATAACTCTACCTCCAATTTATACACCACCGGTACCCATGAAAAAAAAAATTATGTATCCCAACAAGATACGAATGACGTAACTGAAGACGATGATGTTGAAGAAGAATTTTCAAGACCACTATTTGCGAGAACGACCATTGCGACCGTCTTCTTGATATACACTAGATTTAGGGGTCATTCCATATCGGCATAGAAAATAATTGTATTCCAAAAACGTTATCTTATGTAGGGGTGTCAATTCAGGTCAACGAGTTGCGTTCGTGTTTGACCTAAAATTGACCCGATCTGAATAGGGTCAACTCTAACCCAACTCGAATAATAAATGTGTTGAAAAATAAAACCCGAACTCAAGTTTGACCCGCTAACCCGAACCCGACTTAAAATTTTGAGCTTATTCAGATCATGTTTGGGTTTTCGGGTTCAACCCTAACCCAAATCTAATAATAAACGGGTTGAATTCTATAATCCGAACACGACTCAAAAAATATTCAGGTCAACCATAACCTGAGTTTTCCGAGTTGATTTCGAGTCGTGTTGGCTTGTCAGGTTAATTTTTGACACCCTTAGTCTTATGATAATATTTTATTGTAATGTAATTTTTTTAATTTAATTTATAGTTAGCTTTTTCATTTTGTTAATGTCTATTTTTTAATTATTTTGAGATTATCTAAAGAATGATTAATGTAGTATAAATTTATCATTTATTTTTAATAATAATATTTTATGTAATATTTTTACTATTAATATATAATGTCATATATAAAAAAATAATATTATATAGGAAATGCCCCCAAGGGTGGCGTTTCCTTTGAAAGTAACATTTAAGCATGAAACGCCCCCCATGGGGGCCTTTATCCTCCTAATATAAATATGCTTTTAATGGAGCTCCTCGCCATAAATTCTTTATTTTAAGTGCTCCTAAAATTTCCGCTAAATGTGATGGGTTTCGAGTATATTAGATTTATTTTTCAAAATAACAAAAGAGTGCATCTCATGGGCGATGGAGGTTACTAGGTGGATCAGGATGACTAGCGCGAGAGACGGCGTCAAAGATGAGGTGAGAAAACTGCAGGAACCGCTATAGGACTGGCTATCCTATGCAACTACAACTATTAATGGGGGTAGGAACGACAGAAATAACAAAGGTTAGCTATGCTGGGGTGGCGGCGACAGGGATTGAGAGGGGGGTCAACAATGATGTGGCAAAGAAGCGGGCTGTTTGGAGTGGTGGGAAGGTGCTGGACAACAAGGTAGACTACTGACAACAGGAACAAGGAAGATACAATCACCATCGACAAGAGGAATACAACCAGCGCACCATCCTAACCGTCATATACAACCCTCAAGAGGGAAGAAGACTCCACCCAGAAAATTTGAAAGAAGGCTGCATCAAAAACTAACCCTAAGTTTAGAAACGAGCATATAAATTGACTCTAAAAGAGAAAGAACAGAAATGAAAGGCGGGGGAGCGTTAGCAACATTGCCGCCCTTTCTAAAATGCTGCTTGATCTAGCGGGATGCAAAAAAGGCAGGGAGAGAGGCGCGAGAGGCTGCTCGCCCCTTTAGGGATCTCGCTCGGGCCTCTTGGCCCGGGATTTCCTTGGACTGGTCTTCAACAAACTGGTCGAGGTCAGTGCGGGAAATCTCGCTCCCTCGTCCACCCGGGGCGTCGATTTCCTGGACTTGAGGGAGCTTCAACTTCATTTGTTGAAACTTCAAATTTCTTGTGGCACGATGTCAAATCCCCTGACATGTCAATCATGTCGGCGTTGTCATTCCACAAAAGAATATGTATCCATCCTCTTTTGGTACGTCCTGATCGGGGGTCGCATATAGAGTTGGGTTTCCGCAATACAATTCTCAAGCCCTTACGCCCTTACATTTGAAATCTTCTCCTTCCACTTCTCCTGCCTAGCATGTGGTGATTGAGTAACAAGTAGTGAGGAAAACTCAATTATGGGATGAAATTTGTGATAGGCTGTGTCACTTTTAAAAGCAACCACTTATGAGAGATATCTTCTTTAGTGACAGGACCTGGATCCTATTGAAGAATTTTCATTTCCCTCAAGCTCCTAAGACACATTTCAAAGCTGAGGTTCATTCCTACTATCTGGATCTCTGCTAATGGGTGCCCCACTAAGTTGAATCTAACATATGATATTCTCGTAATATTACAAGCATGACACGACATGAATCTTCCTCAATCATGCTAGACCTCCCTCCATAAGGATAACTCAGGAAGGGTTCTGTACATCTGCCAAGTATACAATGCTCTGATCAGTGGTGGCCCTGTATCCGTGGTTGATTCCTTAAACTCATGCTCCTTTTGGACATCCCAAGTCATTCTGACTGATGTTCCTCTCAAGTTTGCAAAATACTGGCTCAAGACACCATAATCTCGTATACTGTCGGACTGCTATTACCCCAGAGTCACTACCTTCTGGCGAAGCGGTTGTTACCTCAGCTGGAATCTCTATCTTAGGTTCAACTAGAATTGGTGGTGTCTCTTCCTTATTAGCTACTAGTGGAGAATCCTCTCTGACGTCTTCATCTTCTCCTCGACCAACCGTATCATTGCCCAATTTTTCAATAACACCCTACTCAGCGAAATATCTCTCCCCTGGTTGTGCATTCTGATTTCTCATGCCCAAATCAATGGCACTTGCCACATTTTCTGGCAGTGACAGACTTGTAGATTGATTTTGCTGGATAGTAGCCAGGGGGGTCGCTTGGTGTTGCAGTTTCTCCACTTGGGAAGCTAGAGTCTACAACTTTTGACGGTATTAAGTTAGGAGGAACTGACGCTGTGTTTTCCACTTCATCTTCATATCCTCTCGTTCTCCCCTTCGACCTTTCGGATCACGGTCGAGAGCAGCCTCCCATTGGATTTTATATTCCATGCCCGTAATTGACCGTCGATGTCAGCGGATCTCTCACTATATCTCCTCTCGTGAAGGCTCTGGTATGTATGTTAATAGTGGCATGGTTGAGGATTAGGGAATAAGAAATAAAAATTTTGATGGAGTTAGAGTTTGAGTTGTGAAAAAGATATTTGGTGGTAGGAAAAAAAAATTTGTTTTATGACAGATGTTAGGGAACCACCCTAGGATATGACTAGAGTTGGGCTAGCTCCGATACCGAATAATACCGGAGGGAAATAGGACCTAAAACACAAAAATAACTTTTATTAATAGGGAAATAAGGTTACAACACACAAAAACTGAAAATAACATCACAAACACATACATCAACACAACAAACATCTCGAGAGTGAATCCTAAGGGTGGTGGAGGTTACTCGGTGGATCGGGATGACTAGCGGGGGTGGCCGTAGCGAAGGCAAGGTGAGAAAACTGCAAGAATTGTTAGGGGATTGGCAATCCCTTGCAGCTACAACAATAAATTGGAGCTAAAACAACATGAACAATAAAAGCTAGCTGTCCCAGATCGGTGACAACAAGGAGGAGGTCAACAATAATGCAACAAAGATGCAGACAGTTTGGGGTGGCGGGAAGACGCTGGAGAACATGGTGGATGGCTGGAAACAGGAACAAGGAAAATACAATCACCACTAGGGAGAGAGACACAGCCGGAGCATCAACCTAACCATCAAATACAACTCTCGAGAAAGTTAGTCGTTTGCAAATTGCTCGTGTTCGGC